CGAGGAATAAGGTTAGCATATGCATTAATTTTATCAACATACACTACATACAAATTATTAAATTATTATTTCTCATTAAACGTGATTATTCAATTGTATTTGATGTCCTTTGTAGAAATCGAAATCACATAAATGAAGAGATTGTGTGCAAATTATCAGCGATGCTACACCAATACAATGTGCACGCACAATCATTTAGGATGGCTAAGGAAAGATTACAAGATGCACCTGTGCAAGATCTACGGCTTAAGTTGATTTCTGACAGAGTTAGCGATGGCCGAGTATATAATCTGCCAACGGTTTCAGAAGTTGCTACTTTTATTGTTGGAGATGTTGACGCTTCATCAAAAAGAGACATAATAATGGAGACGCGAAGTCGTAAACTTCAGCGAATCAGTGAGTTGCATACTAGCTATTTGAGTTATCAATATCCTCTTTTATTTCCTTATGGTGAGGATGGATACAGGCATGACGTGCTTCATAGAGATACAGGTAATTCTAATAGTTCTAAAAGAAAACGTCTTACCATAAGGGAGTGGCTTTGTTTTAGACTCCAAAACAGGAAAAAAGAGGCACTCACATTGTTGAGATCAAGACGATTATTTCAACAGTTTGTGGTTGATGGATATACTATGCTTGAGTCAGAGAGGTTATCTTTTATAAGGAGAAACCAAAAAAAGCTAAGAGTTGATAAATACAGTAACCTCACTCAACCAAATAATGACTTACAATGTCAAGGATCTGAAAAGGGAAAAAGAATTGTACTACCATCGACATTTGTAGGAAGTCGCCGATACATGGATCAACTTTACTTCGATGGTATGGCAATTTGCGGTTTTGTTGGCTTTCCTGATTGCTTTATCACTTTCACTTGCAATCCCAATTGGCCTGAGATTCAGAGAGTACTTGAACCATTAAACTTGAAGCCACATGATCGTCCAGATATTCTTGCAAGGGTCTTTAGGATCAAGTTTGAAGAGTTATTAACAGATTTAAGGAAAAGGCATATATTCGGGAAAGTTCTTGCATGTAAGTTTAAAATATGAATACATTACATATTTCTTATTCATACTACAATTTACTCTTGCAATTCATTTATTCTAAAATTTTAATTTGCTAATTTATTTCCAGATATGTATACAATCGAGTTTCAAAAAAGAGGACTGCCACATGGTCTAATACTCATTTTTTTGCATCCTTCGAACAAGTACCCAACTGCCGATGATATTGATAGGATTATCTCAGCGGAGATACCTGATCGAGAGTCTGAGAAAGAATTATACAATTTGGTCAAAACTCACATGATTCATGGTCCATGCGGTTCAACGAACCCTTCATCGCCATGCATGCAGGATAGGAAATGCAACAAGTATTATCCTAAGCAATTCCAGGCAAGTTTGATTTTAATTAGTCTGGTCAGTTATATATATATATATATATATATATATATATATATATATATATATAGATTTTGGTTCAGGTGAGAAATGCATCTAATGTGAGAAATGAGAATGAATCTCAGCCATTGGATTTACGAAGTTGCACTAAAATTGGCTTTATGTTGCAGTAGAATTTAAATTTTGCACATGTTGCACTAAAACTGTTTCATGTTGCACTAATATTTGACAGCGTTGCACCAAAATAGCTTCATGTTGCACTAGACACGTGTAATACGGAATTTTCAGAAGTATTGACAGAAATGCCACCGTGCTAGATTGCATATTTCAGTGTATCATGAAGTGTCTTTTACTGCAACTTAGTCGAATCCAATGGCTGAGATTCATTCTCATTTCTCACCCAAAGGGTTTTTCTCACTTGAACCTTACCCTATATATATATATATATATATATATATATATATATATATATATAGGGAGCGGTTCTAGTAAGAACAGATCTTAGGAGAGAAATGAGAACGAATCTGGACCATTGGATTGAATTATGTGGAACTGAATTGTGCATTTGGTGAAACCGAAATGTGCATTAGATGATATTGAAATATGCAGAATAAAAATTTAAACTCACATGTGCATTAGGTGAAACTGAAATATGCAGAATAAAACGTACAAAAAATAACATTACATCGTACCTTTTATCCTGCACATTTTAGTTTTATCTAGTGCACATTTCAATTTCACTTAATGCACAATTTAGCTTCACATAATTCTACTACATCGTACCTTTTGTGCTGCACATTTCAATTTCACCTAATACACATTACAACTACATCTAATGCACATTGAATTTCACATAAAGCAAATCTAACGGTCCAGATTCATTCTCAGCTCATTTTTCTCATAAGATCATGTTCTTATTTGAACCAAAACTTATATATATATATATATACACACACACACACACACACATATGTATGTATATACACACACATTTACATAAGATATTTGGGATATTACCATTTAGATCGTTACAAAAACATAAATTAAATTATATCGCCATAATAGTTTCATACATTTGCTAATGAATGATAGATAATTAGATTAAAATATTACAAAGTACTAATTAATAAATGACTATAGTATTAACTATTCATCTTGAAAATGACTTTTATACAGTCACTACTGTTAATTTTAAGCATGTAGGTCCCTCGTGAAAAATAAATCAAAACTTGAACATTGTCACACTGTAGACTAATACTACAAACTAAACATCAATTCCTAATTTTAACAACACACGCAATTTATACATATATGGTAAAAAAACACAACATCACATTTTATTACTATTATCTGTTGAACTTACTCTATCAAAGTCATACATGACATTAGTGGTGCTAAGAAGTATTAAGTTAAGATTATTCTCATCACTTTTAAATAGAAATACATAACATTTACAATGTTTCAGGAATCCACGACACTTGACGAAGATGGTTATCCTATTTATAGGAGAAGACAAAATGGAAGGGAAATAGAAAAATCTGATATTATCTTAGACAATCGTCATGTTGTGCCTTATAATCCAAAATTGCTGTTAAAGTACCAAGCTCATATCAACATGGAATGGTGTAATCAATTCAAAGCACTTCGATCAAATACTTATTCAAGTATATCAACAAAGGATATGATCGGATTACTGCAGTTATTGTTCCAACACGCGATGATGAGTCTCCACAAAATGAGACTATTGATGAGATCAAGCAATATCTTGATTGCAAGTATGTCTCACCATGTGAGGCCTGTTTGGAGGATTTTTTCTTTTCCGATTCATGGTAGGTCTCCAGCGGTTGAAAGGCTTTTTTTCACCTTCCCAATGAGCAGTCTGTGTTCTTTAGTGACAATGACAACCTGGATTCGATTCTAACAAAAAAACTATTAAAGAATCAATGTTTACATCTTGGATGCAAGCAAACAAAATCTATCCTGAAGGAAAAGATTTGACCTATGCAAAATTCGTTTCACGGTTTGTGTATGTAGCTAGCAAGAGGTGCTGGAAACCGTGAACAAAGGGTTACACTATTGGTAGACTCATTTGGGTACCTCCAACCACAGGTGAATTATTCTATTTAAGAATGATGCTCACTGTAATAAAGGGGCCATGTTGTTATGAGGATATTAGGACGGTTGTCAACATTCAATATCCAACCTTTAGAGAAGCGTGTTTTGCTGCGGGATTACTTGGGGATGATAAAGAATATATTGGAGCATTAAAAGAAGTTAAAGACTGGGCATCAGGGCACTATTTGAGAAAATTGTTTGTGACTTTGCTCATATCATGTCCCGTGAGCAGACCTGAGCATGTATGGGAACAAACTTGGCAGTGGTTGGCAGATGGAATTTTGTATCAACAACGAAGGCTCTCAAATATTCAAGGTAGACCACTGATCAATTAAAAATTAAATTTTCACTAATCATTTGTAAAATGACCCTACGGCCCTACCAAAAATTATAAGATTTGTGAGTAAAAGTATTACCCTAAATTTCATTCACCTTATATTTGAATTCGAATAGAGAACTTCAAGTACATATGATTACTTTACGAGATATGTGTTACTCTTTCTAAATTCCCACTAATTATATAAGTATAAAAATTAGTGAAAGTTGAAATTAATTATTTCCTATTACCATAAATTAGAGTTTTTCCCATATTACCCCAATCAACTTTTCTTATCTTAGGTATTCAAATAATTTCACGTATCAAGTAACATATAATTTATTTCACCTATCAAGTAACATATAATTTGTCATTCATTTGGATAAAGGAATATATTCAAATAAAAATATTTCATAATTTTAATTGTCTGCATATCTCATTGTCATTCATTTGCATCACTGTGGTAAATTAAATTATTTACAATAAAAACATAATGAGAGTAGACACATACACATGAACATCTTCTTCTAATTACTAATTTGATTGTGTTTATTACATTTGTAGATTTGCAACTTAGTGATCAAGAGTTGCAAAATTTAACTCTTCTGGAGATCGAAAAGTTGATGCAAAAAAAGAGAAAAAGTCTAAAAGACTATCCCTCAATACCATATCCAAGTGGATATATCACGGAACAACTAGGAAATAGGCTTATTTATGCAGAACGTGATTATGATACATCCAAGTTGCATGAGGAGTTCCAAACTTTGTATGCTTCTCTTACTGGTAAGATAAATACAATTCACATCATTTATAAGTCAAATTAAATGAATTTGACTGTCAAAAAGAAAAATGATTTCATGCATATATTTTTTATGCTAATATTGCAGATGAACAGAAAGGCATATTTGACACAATAATGGAAGCTGTGACTAACCAAAAAGGAGGGGTATACTTTTTATATGGTTATGGTGGTACAGGGAAAACCTTTATGTGGAGGACATTAGCTTCTGCCTTACGTTCTCAGCGTCATATTGTTTTAACTGTCGCATCCAGTGGTATTGCTTCTCTACTCTTACCTGGCGGCAGAACTGCACACTCTAAATTTTCAATCCCAGTCCCTACTTTAGAGAACTCTACATGGAATATACATCAAGGGAGTGAACTTGCAGAGCTTTTGAAACAGACTAAGTTGATAATTTGGGATGAAGCAACAATGGCTAATAAATTTTGTTTTGAAGCACTAGACAGAAGCCTAAATGACATCATCAACAATGATGGTGATTCTATTTCACCATTCGGAGGAAGAGTGATTGTCTTTGGAGGAGATTTCAGACAAACTTTACCAGTTATTCCTGGAGGAAGCCGTTCAGACATTGTTAATGCTACAATCAATTCTTCATATCTATGGGATGACTGTCAGGTAATAACTCCATTTTTAGTACCATAACCAATATGTTTACTGTTACTATAATTTTACAAATACATTTTACCACAATATACCAAAATAACTAACCTAAAAACATTTTAAAAAAATCATTCGTTCACTTTTAGTTTAAATAAAGTACAAGTACTTATATTAATTGTTTAACTATTTCAAATCATCACTTTATAAGTTTTTTAGTAATTACTTCATAAGTTATACTCAATAATAAGTATTTAATTTTTTTGTTTATTGATAGGTATTGTCTCTTACTAAAAATATGCGACTCCAAAACAATTTGGATATGACAAGTGCTACTGAGCTCAAAGAATTTTCAAAATGGATATTGGATGTGGGGGATGGAAAAATATCAGAGCCAAACGATGGTTATGCAGAAATAAAAATTCCAGATGAATTCTTGATTAAAGAATCTGATGATCCAGTAGATGCAATAGTTCGTAGCACGTATCCCAACTTGCTGGAGCAATACCAAAATGAGGAATTTCTCAAGTCTAGAGTTGTCTTAGCATCAACTATTGAAATTGTCGATAAAATTAACGACTATGTTCTTTCAACGCTCCCAGGTAATATTATATAAATTCAATTTTCCTTATTTACTTACAAAATTAATTCTTAAACAAATTTAATAATTAATTTAAGACTACCGAACTTTTATAACTACAGGTGAAGAAAGAGAATATTTAAGTTGCGATTCTGTAGACAAGTCGGATGTAGTTGAAGCAGAAGCATTTGAAGCGTTGACACCAGAGTTTCTCAATTCCTTGATGACATCAGGTCTCCCAAATCACAACATACACTACAACAAAAATGATTTATAGAGGCGGGACATAGTTGCCTCTATAAGTAGAAATGTAGCCTCTAATTACTTTTAGAGGCAATTTATTGTTTGCCCCAAAGGCGCCTCTAATTAATCCGTCCCTAATTGATGGTTGCCTCTAAACCTATTTTTTGAGGCAACAAAAAAGTGTGACTCTAAACCATATATCTTTAGAGGCAACCATATTATGTTGCCCCAAAATATCATTAGAGGCAATCAAATTATATTGTCTCAAAATATAATTAGAAGCAAACGTAATTATATTGCCACGAAATGAAATTAGAGGCAATGTCATATATTGTCACTATATAATTAGATGCAATTTATTTCTTTGTTATTTATGCTTTTAGAGACAACAATACGAAAAATGCTAATTTGTTGCCTCAATTAGATTAAACAAATCATTATCAATCGTTAAATGCATTATCAAATGCGAACACTTAAATTACACATTTTGCAATATTTTTGTAGTATCATAAAACACTACATGAGATTATAAGAATAGTTAACAATAAATTTCATTACAGTTAGTCATAACTGGCTATAGGCCTATAGATTATAGAACTTAAATTCAGAACAAAGTTTAGTCATATATACAATGACGGAGTTACATAAGTTAACTTTAAGTAAATTACAACTAGTCAATAAATCTCAATAATACAAAGCAAGAACAAATTTAGTTGCGGCTAACTATTCAGCTGAAACCAGATGAAACTAAAGGCCAAGGAATAAATCTACTTCATTGTCATCATCTGTTGGCATTTCCTCGCTCTATCCATCCATCTGAAACATCAGAAAAAGTAAATTAGTATTTTATAAATATTAATATAAAAAACTAATTTAAGAAATGACTAAGAAAGTTAATGTGATGAGATAACTCATTAGTTATTAGCTATGGAAAATCATAGACTGAAACTAACACTAAATAAAAAAAAACAGCAATAAACAAATTGTGTGAAATTTGTGTATGGAAAAACTGCAATCGCTAACACAAAACTAACTTCCCTTACTAAGTCATTATTGTTGTATTACAGTTTTGTCTTTTATTCTTTAAGTTATTATTATTATTATTATTATTATTATTATTATTATTATTATTATTATTATTATTATTATTATTATTATTTATTAATAATGTGGAATTTTTGTGTTGTCTAGAATTCCATGACCTTATAGCTACATGTAGCTTATTATACTCTCATATTGTCCACTCAAGTTGTTACTATTTTATCACTACTCAGTATCTTGGGCTTGTAAAAATATCATAGGCTTGTAAAAATCATAAATGAAGGTATTAACAAAAACCCGTAGAATACCAGACATCATAAAGACTAAAAACTGGTAGTGCCAAAGATAAGACACAAACATATATACTTTGATGATGTTTTCATATGCAGAACCAGAGAAGCTCAAGACTTACCTCTTCCACATGCAGTTTGGTCAAAACATGCTCTAAGAGTTAATTCTTGTTCCTTTTGGTCAGAATGTCTGTGAAAAACTCTATAATCATAGATCAAATGTTTTCGTATGAGAAGGTCTATATTCTGAAGTAGTTAAAATTAAACAGATCAATTCCGAAATAAACCTTGTAGTTTGTACACAAGCAGGGCTACAAATGCAAACTTTAAACCACATATATAAAAAAGTAACTGAAATCAATAATGGTTGGCTTCTCTGTGTACAAACTAAGCACAAGAAGAGAGGCATTTAAATATGTACTCCGTATTTACAAAGAAGTGGGGTCTTCACGCAAGTAAAAAATATCATCATAAGCCAATGGTTTAAAAATTAACACAACCAAATTCACAAAATTAAACACAAAACTAACAAAGAATATAGTATGTAGTTACTAATCAAATTCTTGCCTTTTAAATTACACTTTTGGGATTAATTAATTTATACAAACACACAATCTATTTTATTTCCATAACCTAAGGAGTTACTTATTATCCCAGTAACTCTAATAAAAATAAAGGATGTTAAAAACTTTGAATAAATGAAATTAAAGTTAGTGAAATGGAAATATGAAAAAAAGTTTTAATCATATATGGACAACTTTGAAAAAAGAAATTTGCAACCACATGAAAGGATCTTCTGTACCATATAATCTTACAACTTCAATTGAAACAATGCACTGAGATAACGCCTAGCAGGAGTACAAATGAAGTGGTGTGTACAGTTCAGATATCACATACAACTGCTTTAGCTCTGGAAAATGGCATTCCTCAATACTTTTTTCCCAGTTTGCATTCATCCACCCTCCAATTTTCCATGTCTGAATGCACCAATAGAAATACAAAAGATGTAAATAAAGCTCCAGATTAGTTTCGAATTTGAGATCAATTTTTTCTTTTTACAAAAAAAATGGAGTAATAACTTAACATCCAACCCCAATTAAAATTCTAAGCAAATAAAATCCACCCTCTTTAAAAAAAAGAGCATCATAATAATGTGATATTCCTCTCAATTCTGAAAAAGAGGACCATCCATAACTCAAGTATTAGCTAATTGGAAATCTGTTTTTCTCTTCATACTTGATGTAGTAAATGGAATCGTCAGAAATCACAATTCACAAGTGTATATAATCAAATACGATTACATCATAAGCAATTAATAAAGCACATTAGTAGCACAATTCTCAATTGTTTTCATATTGAGAACCAAGAATCCGTAAGGAATATCAAAGACCTAACAAGGTATCAAATGTGACACGAAATTGGTAAATGAAATTGTGAGATAGGGTTTTGTAGTTGCAGTGGGGATTGGGCTTACCTAGTAGCGGGAGTGGAAATAGGCGGATGAGAGGAAGAATTGGGCGGAACAAAAGGATCGGCGGAGCAGCTTATGGATTCTTCCTTCGGCATTCTCATCCATTTTAGCCCGTTGGTCCGGGCACACGATTGATGAACTTAGGGAGAAATACTTACCGGATGATAAGGCGAACATGGAGAAGATGAAGATTACAGCCTCTCGCCTTAATTGCTTCAAGAAGAAGAGCTGTCTTCGCGAACAGAGAAAGAAGCTTGGAATCAATGCCCTCTTCTCTGAACTCTGCTCCGTAGGTATGGTCGTATGGATTAGGGGTTGAATTGGAGGTGCTAACTTAGGGTTAATATTATTTGCGGCAATGGTGAAAAAGAAGCGGCAATCTTCTAAAAATTAGAAAATTGGGAAATTGAGAGAGAGTGAAAAAGAAGCTGCAAAAATTGGGAAAGTTCTGGTTACGTAGTGGTTATTACTCATTACTAAAGATGCTGAAATTGAGGGGCCAATTTGCACAAAATAGAAGGCGTTAGAGATGCTGAAAATCTGATTTTGAAGGGCCAATTTAAGAGTCCGTTTGATAAGCTATGTTTTTATACTTCTTATTGACAAACTTTTTTTTTTATCAAATACGTATTTTTTTATATTGCTCATCGAATTTTGTAATAATCAAAATAAGTAAGATTGAACAAGGCGGAATTAAAGGAACCCAACATAGGCCCTAACACACCAAATATAAAAAACGTTTTAATTTTTAAGATAAAAAATTTAGTGTATTTTTTTTCAAAAAGATTCTTTGTACCGATCTAGCCACTGAGATTGAAGTTACTTTTTTGTTTAAATTGAATGGAGTTACTATAGAGGGCCATTATAGTTAATTTTTCATATATTGTTTTTTAATCTACTAATAGAATATAATCTAAACATATTTTTCATAATTCACCACATTCACTCACTTCAACTAGCATTTTATCAATTTTAATAAATCTAGCCAATTCAACCAATTTTAAAATACAGAATACTTTAAGGGTAATTATAATTGAAATTCCGCTAATTAATTGCACCTCTTAAAAGACTATGAAAAGAGTTGCCCCAAATTCTTTCCTCCATAAGTGATATACATTTTGAAGCTAACGTTTTTGGGGAGATTGTATTTGCAACAAACTTTTAGAAGTAATTCTAAAAAGATTGCTTCAACTAATACTTTTAGGGGCGACTATGCTTTTGCAACATGCTTTTAGAGGCAACCTTAAGAAGGTTGCTCCAAATAATACCTTTTAGAGACAAGAAAATTGCGGTTGTCTCAAATGTATTGAGAGCTTTTAAGATTAGAGGCAACCACGGTTTATATGACACTAAAAAGGTCTTTTAGAGGCAACTTGTTTCAAAGTGTTGCCTCTATAAACGATTTTTCTTGTAGTGATACGACTTAAGGTTGGGACTCCAGTAATGTTGCTGAGAAATATAGACCAGTCAGAAGGATTATGTAATGGAACTAGATTGATTGTCACAAGATTGGGAAATCATGTCATTGGAGCAAGAATCATGTCTGAAGGCAATAGTAGAGATGAGATTTACATACCACGAATGTGTATGTCTCCTTCTCAATCACCATGGCCTTTTAAACTTATCAGAAGACAATTTCCTATAATGGTCTCATATGCGATGACAATCAATAAATCTCAAGGACAGTCACTGGAAAGAGTTGGATTATACTTGCCTAGACCTGTTTTTAGTCATGGACAATTGTATGTGGCATTGTCAAGAGTTCAGAGCAAACATGGATTAAAGATTTTAATACATGATAAGGATGGAAAATCATTAGACACTACCACGAATGTTGTATTCAAAAAGATTTTCCAAAATCTCTAACATGTAAGTTTAACATTTTTTTTACTAATTATTTTATTAACTTACTGATAGAGTATATGGGCCTGGACCCCATAGCCCACATACTCAATGGCCCAAAAGACACCAGCGGGA